AATATATTTAAAAAAAGAAATAAAAGACGCATAGTCGACCATGAAATTGGCGTTATTAAGATTGAACTTCATTGGCAGATATTTGTCGTTATTTTTTGTTATTTAATTAACATAAATCATCTGACAAGAAATTGATAGCCTTAATCACAAAGTCTTATTTCATTTAACTAATATAATTAAAATATCTACTTAATGAAATCTATTTTATTCCTTGTCAATATGAATAAATATGAAACGTGATGTTTCACTGTATTTGCTGCATTATAGGCGTGATATTTTGTTTTTTTACGTTTAGAAAAAAGTTATCCACCAAACTATATGTGTAGCATTCCTGATTACTCATTGCCAGTTATGAAATACCAGTTATGATTCCGCACATCTATTTTTTTCTGACTCGAGGTACGAGGAGGAAGAAACCCTCTGTGGTCGAAACTAGTTTTAAGTGTGGGAGAGTCATGCTTCGACCAGAATGGGCCGGCTCGACCGAAGGGATACCACGGCCCCACAGAAAAATGTTTTGTTTCGTCATGTGAGTAAGGTAACAGGAAGCCCAATTACTCCCCCCCCCCTTTCCCTTCCCCAATCTCTCCATACCATGAATTCCTCCTAATCCCCAAGAGGCCGGTAACAAGTGTCGATGGGCGACGCCGATTGCTTACCATCAGGTGATCCGTCTGCTCGTTTACCGGCTTATTCCATAAAAAAAGTTTTTCTCAGTATTTTCAAGTAAGTAACCCCCGATTTTTAGTTAATCTAGACCTTATTAATTTGACAGACTTATGCAGGACATTTCATTCTTATAAAAGGGCAACTATGGTAATTATGGTATGTATGATAAAGTTTATTACAACAAAAACGGGAATATGACCCCTACACAAGTAATCAATATCTTTCGTTACATCCAACATAAAGGACATGATGGTATGGTATATAAATGTACCATTTAATTCACAATAATGACACAAAGGACTTATGCAGCATATTATATTATATGTGAAGGACTGCTTATTATTCCTTTCAAGATGACCATGGCATTAACCTGGCGCTATATGCATAAACGTTTGTACCGCTTTGCAATATTTACAAATACATAAGTAGATACAAGACGGTTTAACCATAAAATGATTGCATAGTAAATGCCTATAAATAAGGTATCTCGTTGCTATTGAAATATACTTAAGTAAAACCTACTACATGAAGTGTACGTTTTAGCATTATGAGTCTACAGTGTTTTGCCTGCAAACTATACATTTTTCTATCAAATAAACTGAATAAGAAAAATCTGTGAGCTTCGAATGTACGTAAATATCATCAAACACTCCTTAATTTAGGATTACCTTACAGAAATAGGTAAATGCAGTACCTAAAACTAAAATAACTTATAGAACACACCAAAAACTGACTAGACAACCCTAACAACGTACTTAGTTGTCAAAGAGCAATGATTGAATCATAGATCAGATATCTACCTAATTAATTACAAAGATCAATTTATATAATGCTCCTTTAGAAGAAGATGATTCCTATGTATATAATTACATACATACGAATGTACATTCGAATGTACATTTACATATAAACACCTACAGACCTACCCAACCTGTGTAAAAAAGTGAAGAAGATAAGATCACTCAATTATTAACAAGCGTAGCGACTAACAAAAAAGATTAAACTAAACTTTAACATTGTTTACGTAAGGCGGTATTTAGAATGTCAATTTTTATTAGATAATATATACTTTATACAAATATTTACTGTATTAATTAAATCTTGCAATCTTTAGGGGTAGTAATTACTAATACCTACTTAACTGTGCGACTATTTCCAATCGAAATGTATACTCTCAGGCTCTCCGAACTAAAAACTATCTAGAAATATCGAGAATGGTCATCTATTTATGATCTTCACATACTGCATGCATACTTTCATGACACACATAACATGCATTTAATTCCCCGAAATGAATGAACATACAAACGTATCTACACGTGTTTTTAACATGTTGTTTGTTTGTTCATGTCATACTTGCTTAATTTTCGCCAGTTGCGTAATGCCATAAAAAACAACCTATAAGTGCAATATTCCTGCAATATTGTTCTCGGAAATAGTAAAATGTTCCCGAAAATGGCAGGTAAAGGTAAGTCTGCTGATTACTATTATAACAAACCCTTACTATAAATATAAATTTAGATAAACATTTGTTTCTGTACGAAACTAACAAGAACAGGAAATTCATATTTAACATACAACACTATCTTAAACATACGGAACTATAAGTCACTAAATCTGAACTCTGTTCAGCTTCCTCATTCAAGAGTACTTGTAAGGTATCCATCAACAATGTATTGTATAATGCCGTCACGATTATTGTAATCTAGTTTAAGTATTCTATAAACTCTATATAACATTACATTACATTA